CAGGCCTGACGGCAGCCTGCGTGCCCGCGAGTTGGGTGGGTAAGCGAGACCTGGTGGCACGGCTCCTTCAGCGCTTCGCCGCGTTTTCAGCGCAGTGTCCTCATGCCGTTCCAGTTAGATTTGCAGAACGATTTTGAACAGCTGCACAAGCTGTTGTTGCTGCTTGTGCAGGCTGCTTTTGTCCGTGTTCTGGGTCCGATTTGTTCTGGTCATCTTTGACACTAGCTTTTTGTCACTTAATGTCAGAATAGCGTGATGTGTTTGCCTCAGTTAAATGCAACCTGAATTGCCATCTTACAAATGTGAGGCTTAGCTTCCTTCTCTTAAACCAACGTGGTTATTGGGAGCTTCAAATCTAGTTATATGTAGTAAAGATCAGGTTAAATTTAGGATCGCCGGTGTTGTTCTAAAAGTTGTAACTTTGTACTGCATTGCACTCCCTCAAAAACCCTAAGGGCATGGAAGGAAGGTTGCTTTACCAAATTCCCCTAGTTGTGATCTTGTGCATGGGATGAAACTGTTAGTAATGTGCTGTTACAGAAGTTGTGAACTTGCTTAGCAATGCCTCATCTCATGGTAGCACAATCAGTGATTACTGATAGCAAAAGAGCTGGTCAGAAAAAGCATTGGGAGGTAGAAGAATAAGAGCACCTTTTGTTAAGAGAAACATAAAATTAGTTTTCTAGGAAAAGACTGTCTAGCTGGTAGGGGACATGTAAGTTTATCAAGCACTAACATTTAGTGAATGGAAAACTATGGGTCTTTTAAAGCTGAGATTTAATGTGCTGATAGTTCCATGAGGTCAAATGTCTACAGATTAATTTTTACAGTGTTATAATAGAATGCAGGATACAAGAATGAAAACTCATTTTTCAGAAAAGATCAGATTTATCTGAAGTGTGCACATGTGCAGTAGTATTTGCTTTTTATTTATAACTTAAGCTTTTTTTTTTAACATTTTAATAGAAATATGGTCTGTGTTCTAGGAGCCGGGAAAACAACTCTTCTAAATTACATACTGACAGAACAGCATAATAAAAGAATAGCAGTTATTCTGAATGAGTTTGGAGAAGGTATGTAAACCTGCAGAAACAATTTTTTTAGCTGTAAAATGACAAATATATTAAATTTCTGGAAATCAAGAACAACGGAGTTTTAAATCCATTACTGAAATTATTGACATACCTCAGAGTCTTCAGGAGGGCAAGAAGTCTTTTGGCTGGTGTTCATAAAATAATGCTATGCATTAATCTGTTTTGTACATAAATTCAGTCCCTCGGAGTCAAATAAATGAATATATCGCCCTGTTGGAAGTGCTGTACCTCCATTTGTCCTACTCAGTTTCAAGCAAACGGAAATTAAAATAACGTGTTGGTAGATAATATTTTATTTTCTTTCCTTTCCTCTCAGCCACTTACAGATCACAAATTATCCTAGACCCAGAAAACGGGGAGATGTGTGCTTGGTGTCTGTGGTTCTTCGAACTCTTTGCTTCCTTCTTAGGATTTTTAACTGTTATGGCTATAATTTCATATCTGTACCATAGTCAGCGTTGCTTACAGTTTGCACTGTGTTGGTGGTGTTTTGTTTGTTTGTTTTTATCAACAAAGACACATGCCACTTTTCTGGTCATGGTGCCTAAAATAAAGTGTGTAGACAGAGCCTTTATTTGATATGGAGGTAGAGGCTGACTTCCTTTTCTTTTAGCAAAGTTTGTGGCACTTATGTTGTACTTTCATCCTCTGGGTTTTGGTCTTTGTAGAACCAGCTTGACTTTGGCTTTTGAATTGCTCATAAAATGGGAAATACTAATTTCTAAAGAACATGTCAGAACCATGGTCTCAGAAGACAAAAATATAATCCAAGAGTAAAAATGCATACCAACTTGAATCTTTCACATCTCTTTTGCAAGCACTGTCATGCAAGTTTGTAGATTAAAATTATAGTACTACTTACATTTCCAGGAAGTGCCTTGGAGAAATCCCTGGCAATCAGTCAAGGGGGAGAACTCTATGAAGAATGGCTGGAGCTCAGAAATGGCTGCCTGTGCTGTTCAGTAAAGTAAGGAAGGACTATTGTACAAGTTCTTACAGTAGATTTTGGGGGGACTGAGGAAAGGAGAAGACATCCAGGATGTGATGCCTAAAACTGATGGTAGTATTGATTGAGACTTCTTTCGTTGGATAAACAAGAATTGGAATTTGGGGGATAGAAATTTATTTCCTTTTGCTGCCTTACTGGATTTGGACTTAGTGTCTTTCAGAAAAATAATCTAAATACCAACTTATATACCATTGGGGTATTGTAGGGTAGGGAGCTCTCCTTCTTCTGTTAGTATTATATGCTTGTATATAGAGAGCTAAATATTCGTGGAGGCTGGAACTAGGGCTCAAGTTTCCTCATTTTCACATGAAATACTTACTCTGTGTTTCGTTCTCTGTTGGTTAATACTTGAATATTGTATACCTCAGAAAGGGTGGAGGGAGACCCTTTGGTCACCTAATGAAATACAGTATTCCAAATTGTAAGCTGATGGTCACGTTAAAAAGCAGGAGTGTATTTGTTTCTTTGACATGTTTTTACCCTGTTTGTTTGAATGCTGGATTGTTTGTGCTAAATTTGTTAAAAAGGTGATGGCCTGTTTGTCCTGAAAATTTGAAAGAACTGGTCCTATGCCTTAAATTGGAATAGGAAGTGGAAAACAGAAGACCCTGTTGTGTTGTGTCCTATACTGGGATATGAGGAATGCTGCCATTGCTGCTACGTTTTATATACATTGGTTTCTTGTATAAAATGCCATACATTTCTGCTTCAGGCTGACTTCATCAGCAGAGATGTAAGTAAATGGCATGTCTTAATTTTGCTGTAGGTAAAGTGGAAAGGCAGAACATGGTTCATTTCCCCCACCCCCCTCTACACACCTTCTTCCTTTTTGTAAACTCAGCTGCCAAACCAAGTAGTCACACGTTTATGCAGCCCTACTGTTTCTTACAGGGTTTTCAGTGTTTGAAGACAGATCTTCATTTAAACCACCTTTATTATGCCTGTCCAGAGTAGACAAATACTATTTTCACACTAAAATGAAACAAAACTATAATTTGCCTGATATTAGAGCAGCAGCTTGATGACTGAATTTTCAGTGTAGACTGTAAGTCCTGACTCAGGCCTTCTCTTTGATGGTCCTGACACTGTGTTCTGCGTCAGAAGGTACATGTTTATACGTATTCTAGCTTGTTTTCTCTGTTCTCAGGTTTAATTGTTTCTTCTTACAGGGACAATGGTGTGAAGGCTATTGAGAACCTGATGCAAAGGAGAGGAAAGTTTGACTATATATTGTTAGAAACAACTGGTTTGGCAGATCCAGGTAGTTCACATTATGGTTTTCATAATCATGATAATTACTCTGTTCTTATGAAGTGCTTATTTGCTCACCAGTCAGTTCACTGTGCAAAATGTAATATAAAGTGGTGAGTTGTCAGGCACATGCTTTCATTGCCATATAGACTAAAACCAAATTGGGTAATGTGCAGAAGCAGGGTTGTGGGTGGGGTTGCTTGGTTGGGTGTTTTGTTTTGTTTTCTTGAACTTGCTCTAAAATTGACTCTAAAGCTTACAGAAATCCAGTTAAAATATATTTCTATCAAGAGAAGACACTGGGCTTGGAAAAGAGGTGCACACTGTGAAAATAGTAGTTTTCAATAGGCTTTTGCTGTTCTACATTGCTCCTTCTAAAGTATGAATTATTGGCATCTGATGTATTGTCACATTGGTTGTGATAGGCCTTGTATTTTGTGAAGTCATAAAATACGCTGCGAAATAGACATTCTTCTGGAAGGTACAGAGCAAGAGTAGAGATGTTACAAATTCCTTGTGTGCTCTTTAGTGATACTTATTATAAAAAGGTATGTAAACTTGAGCTTATGTTAGTAGTAGCTATCTAAAACAATTTTCTCTGAACCATCTCAATTAAAAAAAGTGTTGTTGATTGAGAGTGAAGGAAATTCTTATCAGAAATTCAGTTGTTTCCCATTTAGGAGACTGACACTTTCCAGCTCAAAGCTAAATAGTTGTCATGGTAAAGTAATTTTCTTCAAAAGAAAGGACATTGATTTGGCCTCTGTTACACGCAAATTCTATTTGAGTGAAATTGGAAAACTATTAAGCTTTTTGGTGAGGAAAAAAAAATCAATAGATACCAGAAAACCATTAGATGTTGTGGGCCTTGCTATATCTTGCATGAGTAAGCACTGTGAAAAACTCACAGGTATTTGGTGTTGATACAGAGTGATGTTTGGAGGACTGCATTTTGTCACTTCAGGTGGACAGTTTTAGGTGTTAGAATGAGTTTGGTTACTCTTTTTTTTTTTTTCTTTTTAATCTTTGCTTAATACTCTTAGCCTGCTCATAACTAAGGATATGATAATTGAAAAAAACAAGGACTGTTGTTACTGTCAGCTCCTCCTGACTTTCATATTGTGGCACTGATACATGTTGAATTGGTTTGTTTCATAACAAATTATGATTTTTTTTTTAAAAATAAATACACAGCACATCCTGCGGCTGCTAGAATCTGTTTTACAGGGCCATTTTAGCAGAAAACAGGAGTAGCATACTTCTAGGCCATGTGTAGTGCACAGGTATCAGGTCACAGATTCCAAGCCCTTGATAGAATGTGATCCCAGTTGTCCAAATACTTGTGGATTCTTCTTGATCAAGACTCACCAGTTTAGCATGTTCCATTTTACATTCTGAAGAAATACAAATAACTATACAAAGAAGAGAGAGTACTACATGTTTCATTATTCCAGAAGCACCTCATTTGGATGGAAATTCAGTGGATGATGAGGCTTAGAATGTAAAAAAAAACTAAAATCATCTAATCATAGAAAATTCATTTTGGAAGGGGCGTTAGGAGGTCTTTGGTCCAACCTCCTGCCCAAAGCAGGGTCAGGTTGTTCGGGATATCAAGTTGTATATCTTTGTCTTTGAGGATAAACATGACACAACCTCTCCAGACAACCTGTTCTGTGCCTGCTTTTTCATGGTAAAAGAAAGTTTTTCTAATATATGTGGTCTGAATCTATCTTACCTCAATTTACTACAGTTTTCTCTCATCCTGCTGCCACAGCCTGGCTCAGTCTTCTCAGTGACTCACCTGTAGGTGAGTCTTAGGTTCCCCGCAAGCTGTCCCTTCTCCAGGCTGAACGAACCCAGTTCCCCAGCCTCTCCTCATAGCGCCTGTGCTCTGGCCACAACTGTCTTGGTGATCCTACGCTGAACTCACTCCAGTTTATTGATGTCTTTCCTATATGGGGAATCCCCATGCTGGAAGTGCTAGCCAGATGTGGACTTGAAAGTGCTAAATAGAGCAGAACAACCTCCTTCAGCCATGCTTCTGTTCCAGCAGCCTGGGTGCTTTTGGCCTTCTCTGATCCCAGGGCACACTGCTTGCTGAGCTTGCTGCCTACCAGGACCTGCAGGGACTTCTCCGTAGACCTACTCCCCAGCCAGTTTGTCACTAGCCTGTATCATTGCCAGGTGCTCTTTGTTCTTAAGTGCATTACTTAACCTTTTTCCTTCCTGAATTTCATCAGGTTCTTGTTGGCCATTCCTGCCTGCCTGGCCTGGTCCCTCTGAGAGATAGCTCTGCCCTTAGGTGTATCAGCTGTTGCTTTCCGACTTTGGTGTTCTCTGCAAACTTGACAGGCATGTCTTCCATCCCCTCCTGAGTTCCTGGTAGAGATGTTGAACAGGATAGGTCCCAGGATAGACCCCTGCAGTACCCTACTTACTACCGACTTCCAGGTAGGGTATAACCCATTTAACTGCAACCTTTAGAGCTTAACTATCCAACCAGTTTTACCTAGTTGCCTTTCCAGTCAGACTGGTGATGTCCAAACTTGGTTACAACTTCAAAGATAGCGTTGAAAAATTTGCTAGAGGTGACATAAATGGCATGCAGTGCTCTCCCCTTGTCCACAGCTACAATAATTTTTTCACAGCTGATTTCTCCCAAATGTGCCAATTCCATTTTTCTTTAACTGTTTTATCTCCTTTTTTATCTCCTTTTTTTTTTTCTGTGTGTGTGCCATGACCTAGAAGCAGTGGCTGAAAGGTGAGGAGAGGGAGTACAGATTTTTTAAGAAATGAGGGACCCTTGGAGTATAGTAATGACAGATAACTGATATTACTGAGTAAAGGTAATTTAGACAACTTGCATGCATCTGGAATTGTGAGATTTTTAATGCTTTCTGTAGTCATAGCTGTTGATGTGCACACAAGTATAATGCTTTGGTAGCTGTTGTTAGATCAAGTGTGTGGTTGGGTGTTTGAATCTATGATGCTTTGTGAGTTTGGAAGAGTGTAGTTTCAAGCACAGCACTACAAACAGAATTTTTCTATGAAATGTTTGAATATTGATAGTTTACTGGAAAATGTCAATTTTGCAACTAAATGTACTGCACTTCTTAGGAGCTGTGGCTTCCATGTTCTGGGTTGATTCTGAGCTGGGAAGTGACATCTATCTTGATGGTAAGAAGGGCAAGCTTGTTTTCCAATGTATTGGCATTCCATGTCTGGATTTAGTGTAATGTATCCTTACCATTTAAGGCAAAGTTTCAGAAAATGTTTGAAATACATGGTCTTGGTTCTCACATCCTGAAATTTGACCACAGCAATCCAGTTGCTTATTCTGATGCTTGTTTTCTACTTGGTGAACTGTTTCAGTTTGCTAAATCCAGCAAAAGTTGTGTCATGTTTTGCTAAGGAATCAGATATGGAGAGATCTTGATTGTGGTGAAAGGGGGGAAAAAACCCTCATTAGTTAGATGTTATAAAACATTATTTAGGAGTACTATTACAGCTCTTATTACTTTTTTTTTTCCTTCCAGTGCAGTGTTTCTGAAATTGTTTCCTTTTTTCTGAACTCTTAACTTGTCAACATCTGGACTCTGCTGCCTTTTGTTTTCTGCCTTCTTTGCCTATTGTACTCTTGTTAGTGCTAGTTTTTGCTGTGTTCCATTAAAAATCTGAGTTTAATGTAATGTAAATGATCACTATATTAGATTAATATATTCATATATTAGATTAATATATTAAGAGCCTGTTGAATGTTGATTTTTTTTTTTTTTGTTAAATGTAGGAAAACCCTGTACTTTTTCGCTTAAAAAAATATCCTACTAACATTTTGGTCAGTCTCTAGAATACCAATCTAGCCAAGGAAACAGTTGAATAGGAAACAGGTTCCTAAGTTTCTGCCAGAGAATTGCAGATTCCTGGTCACTTACAATCACAGTAACTGTATACCTCAGTCAGTCCCCTTAATTTGTTTCCATAACCTGTAAAAGCATACCTCTGCCAGTTTGCTGTTGCGGAGGAAAGAGGAGAGGCATCCACCTTGTGAGAATTTCTCTCACCTGCTTTGGTTGACATTTTTTTATCACAGAGATGAGTAACAAATAAGAAACGAATTGGGTGACAAGTCTGATGTTCAGATACACTGGAAGCATTGAAGGTATTATAAGCAGTTGTAAATGTGATGATAATGTTACTTCAGTAATTGTACAAGAAGTTTACAAGTTGTTAAATTGTTAGCTACTTTCAGCACATTTCTGTTCCATTTTAATGTTCTCTTTCAGGTATTGTATCTGTTGTTGATGCAAAGCATGGCTTGCAGGTAAGTTATTGGATTTATTACATGGCTTAAAACTGCAGCATTAGAACAACTATTGCAATAATGTTCATTTGGGTGAATTATATTTTTACAGTTGCTTTAATTCTTACAATGGATGAGGACATATTTCAGTTGCTGTGGTACTTTAGTACTGTATTTTGAAGGGGAACAAGGAAGTACTGATATTCATAGAAATTCAGATTCTTACCAACACAGCAACATGTCTACTAAGAGTTGTCAGGTTGCTAGATACTTGATTCTTCTAGGTCTATCACTTCAATCAGGAGTCTTGGTTGTATTCCAAATAGACTTCTGGATTGCTGTAAAACAGTGGAGAAATTTGTCTTACAGAGTGTCATTGGTCCGTGTTACTTGAAAGGAGAGGAGTAAGAACAGGCCTCTGATACTCGTGTGGTAATAAGTGAGCTAGGGCTCAAATTGGGAAAGGTGCTAATGTAATGGCAACTGTGGTGAGGAGACATGAGAGAGCCAGGTGTCTAGGTACCATTTCAGAATAAAAGATGACTTCATTACATGGAAGCAGACAAAAAGAGCAGGTATTAGAGTAATCTGTATAAAGTGTAATGTAAGAACAGACCTATAGAACAGTGAGGTTGGATAACAGCAGAAGTTGTGATTAAATCAAATAGTTGAACTTCTTTTGTAATAGGTAGTCATAAAAATAATTATTTGTAACGTAATAGCTTAGGAAGTGACTGCTTTGAAGTATTGATTTTGCAGGATTCAAAATAAGAGTGGCTGTAAGAAAAGATGCCTCCATGGTATAAAAAAACGCCATCATGCTGTGAAAGTATTTTTAATATCTCTGCATTTTACAGTGGCTGCAAAAAGCTGAGAAAACTGAGGAATAATGGCTTAAAATTAAGGAAGTGATCCTTCATTTTTAAGATTTTATTTTGTTTCGACTGTCTGGGTTTCTCATTTCAGTTGAGCTGATCTAACAGCTGATTTACCAAAAGGGGGCTGTCCTGTCCTCTTGCCAATTTGCATTGCACCAGGACAGAACTAATCTAACCCCATAGTAAGGCAGTTTGTCGAGTTAAACCATGGTGTTTTCAAGGGCTTTTGTGGAGGATTTGGGAGAAGAACAAGGGGAAGGGGCTGAGAGCTGGTTTGCCCTTTTGAACAGGAACTGACTTTTAAATCAGCTCAACTATCACAAGAGACCACAGCATGTCTTAAGTCAGCCTCCTTTTCAGCTGAGTGCCCTTGTACTAATTCACCTGTGTTTTATTACTTGCAAAAATGTTGTTCTGTTTATCTTTCTCTTCATGCAATGCTGATTTATTGGCTTGAATCAAACATAATTCTGTTGTACACAGCAGCACTGAATTAGAATCATAGAATCGTTTAGGTTGGAAAAGACCTTTAAGATCATCCAGTCCAACCAATTATTATGATTTAAAAATTGTTTAATATTTAAACTTTCAAGTAATATGTCAGAAGCAACACAAAAATGTTTTGAAACATTGAGCTTTTCTATCCATTATTATGTTTGACAGCTCACTGAAAACTCTTACATTATTAATCAGGAAGCCTGTACAACACTGATGTCCTCTCGGAATAATAGAAACTTCAGACTTTCTCAGTTACATGCCAAGTAAATAACTTTTGCTTTGTATAAAGGACTTTCTAACTTGTGCAATTCCTCTGGTTGCAAAGCTTGACCTCAACAGCTGCTTGTGATTCAAAGAATTCTGAAAGCCATACAGGTAATGACATTGAGATAATAGGCAGCAATTTAAGGGTATCATGCTTCAAAGAACCAACCTGTCACAAGAAAAGCTGACAAATAGTACCCAGTGACCAGTCAGCCAAATTGAAACTGAAGTGGTAATTGATATCATGGGTTATCACTCTAATGGATTTGTCACCCTGCAATCTGAAATACTCATTTCTTTAATCACGGGCAAACGGTTGGACAACTTGAAGTGACAGTTTTCTACTTGCAGGACTTGACATCTGTGCTACTGGCATTGTCCTTTTCAGGGCAACAAATTTGACAACATTAAATTCAATAGAATCAATACACAGTGGATTTCAAAGAAAAGGTCAGAGGAGAGGTTCCCTCCCAGTTGTCCTGTTATGCTCTGCTTAGATTGTGCACAATCAGGAAATAGGGTTTTTTCTTCTTTTTTTTTCTTAAGGTGACAGATGGTATGCAATAATCTAGTTTTGTTTTTCAAGTCAAGTAATATTAGGGGCCCGGTTTTTTTTAATTTATATATTTCCCATGACAATTAATTCCCCTTTCATTTGGTATTCTTGTGTCTTTAAAACCAAATTTTAAAATTATATTCCAGGTACATTTAGAGCTGATGAAGGAATGCACAAGACTCTTTAATCTTCCCAGAGATGTCAGGTGTAAGAGATGAGCTCTTACTAACATCACAGCACCAGTTTAAAGTTTTGCTGCTTCCAGGTGTCTGTGATGCTTCTCTCCTGGAGATTGCTGCCTCCATGGCATAGGGAGCAGAAAATAGCTTGTATTTGAACCTTTGCTGCTTCAGTGTAAAGTCTGTTGCTCTGCCTAAATTACTGATGAAAGTAAGGCTTTATCTTGCTAAACTTCCCATGAATTTTTACTATAAAAGTACAGTTTGACAAATCTTTCAGAGAAAAGGAGTATGCAGTTAATAGATATGAAATCCTGCAAGCCTAACTCATCTTTAACAGTCAACATCACCCTCATTAGAAAAATTACTGTACTTTCATTTTTTCAGATACATTTTTCCATGGTTACTATATGTCATGGTGACTTTTTTTACTTCTTCATAAATCTGAAAAGTAATTAAAAATAAATACTGTAATACATTTTCCAACTATTTAGCATTCTAGTCATAAAATTCATTAAAAGAGAAGAGTTTTCATAAAAGAAATAAGCTTCTGAAATGATGAATGTATAAATGTATTTTGTCACCATCATTTTATAGAAAAATTCTAGATGCCGTCTTCCTCAATACCTTGTTGAAAAATACACCTCAGCTGAATTGGTTTTGAATTTAAATGTCATTTGAACATGATTAATCCAATTGTTTTAAATTTTGTCTAGCACTTGACGGAGGAAAAGCCAGAAGGTCTTGTCAATGAAGCATCTCGGTATGGACATACAAATTAATTTTATATATCATGTTAGGAACCGTGCTGTATAGAAGTTCATTAGAAATGGCTTTTTTTTCTTTTATAATGCTTTTCTCTTCTTCTTTGTTTTTAAACAAAGGTAGAAAATAGAAAAGTGACTTCATGCTCCATTTGGTCTTTTTGCGAAGATCTGACTCTTCTCATACACATTTTAAGAGGGATTGGTTTTACATAACTGAAGGAAAATCACCTGTGTTGGGGGGAAGAAGGAACTGCATGCTAGAATCTGCCAGATGCTTGAAGTAGAACTATTTTTTGCTAGATATGGAACTGCAATGATTAAGGGTAATTATAACAAAAGAAGCCTTCATAAAGCAAAGAGACTTCAAGTATGACTTTGCGAAGAGTACGTGCAGGAGAAACAGGGGCTTGTGAAGTTCATAAATTACAAAGCCCTGCAGTTTAGATGACTTCTTTTCAAAAAAAAACCAAAAAACAACAAAACCAAAACAACCAAAAACTAGCAAGCCTTGGTAGCTTGGTAGGCTCCTCTTATGGCACAGAAGAGCACCTCAAGAAGACAGTAGTACTGTAGTCATACTCCATGATGTTCTGGTTTGATTAATGCTTGCCTTTCTGTACTAATAATGCTCATAGTATTTTTTTGGTGCTATGGGAGAGGTGGTGTTTCTGCCTTACAGTAAAAGTATTTGTTCATGTTGTCTTTTTTTTTTTCTTCCACCGCCCCACCCCAACGCATAGGCAGGTTGCATTAGCTGATCTTATAATCATCAACAAAACAGATTTGGTTTCGGGGGAAGAATTGAATAAAGTCAGAACATCTGTCAGGTATGAAACTTCTGGCATAAATGTAATGCTGTACTGGCTCAGGTTATTTTTATTGGAACAGAATTACTTCTTTCTTGCTGTTAATACAGAAATTAGATTTCATGATTACACTGATATAAATCCTTAGCTCAGCAGGGAAAAAGAGGGTGCCCCTTTCTAAAGGCATTTCACTACTTTTATGTGCTTACGTAAGCTTAGCAGTTTGCCTGTTTAGGTAAGATTTGATGTTACCTACTAAGGACAAGCCTTTGAAGTGTCCATGTTCTTATATTTTTGGGCAGCTGTCCCCATTTTTCTGAATTGGCATCAGGGAAAGAAAAATCTGCTAGCAGAGATGAGTTCAGTAGCGAATACAAAGATGTATGGAGGAAGTCCTAAATAATGGTCTTGGGTGTAGAAGAACCAATGGTCTGAATCAAATTAATGATCAAAGGCTTGTCCTGTCTTTTTCTATCAGTACCGTGGTAACCAAAATAAAACATTGAAATTTTGAAATTCTTTACAACTCTGTTAGTGGTTTGAATTCTAAAAGTAAAAATGCTTAGACCCAGCAGAGTGTGTCAATGAGGGGTCTTGCATAGGAAAACGCTATTCTTACTAGTAGCATTTTGTTGTCAGAACTTGTGAAGTTCCCCAACCCTTACTTAGGGTATGAAAAAGTCATAAAAACAAGGTCTTGTTGGGATGTCTGTTTCTTTGTTCAACAAGTTGATAACAGATTTGGGGTTGTTGTGGTGCTATTTCTTACGCTGCTTTCCATGGTGAAGTTGTTCAAGCAATGTATTACAGATGCATTTTCGTCTAACTTCTGATTTTTCTATTTTATTTTAGGTCAATAAATGGACTTGTTAAAATTCTAGAGACACAAAGATCAAGGTATTAAATGGCCACTATTACTAGGTACCAGATCCTGCTGCTTTTGTGACAGATTTGAGTATGCTATTAGATCAGTTTGGTTAAAGGAAAACTATTGAATTAGAAATATTTAACTCAATATTTATTTTACTAATAAGGATTTAGATAAAGGATTTTTTAAAAATAAGTAAAAATGTATTTTTCTTTGTTGCTGCTCACATCCTACATGTATAATTAGTTAAAAAACATCGCTATTAAGATGTAGCTTAGCTTACAGAGCTTATCACTAGTGGATTTTATTGGACTTTGCAACATAACCATAAGTATTTCTTATTTACATGAGAACTGGATTTTACAAAAGCTCGGGCATTAATTTTTCCAAAACCTGTATGTTGTTCTAAGTATAATATGAATATGGTTTTTAATTATTAAAGTTGCATTTTAGTCATGTTGCCATTTATGGAGTAATAGCATTTGGAAAGTTTTTGGAAAATGCTAATATTGATGTAGTTTAATTGGCTTCAGCATATTCCAGAAACATAGCAGATTTTTAAGGGAGTGTTACAGGTAGAAATTCAAAGTTTCTCGTAACTCGTTAACCAGATCTTGTAACTAAACAGCTACATGTAAGGCCAAGTTGTATCTGAGCTAATCATTGATCACGTGGACTATAATGGTTTTTTTCTGTTGTTCAGCTTAAAGATTTTTCTGACTTACAATGGCTGCTGCAGATAAGTTGTTACTACAAAATTACTTTGAAAACAGTGCAGGGGAATTTATAAGAAGGAAAAGTAATTCCATTGTTTTTGCTATTTTTCATTGAAATTCTGACTCAGATTTCTTCTTTAATAAGGTATTAAATGGAAATGGTATTCCCAGGGACATTAGGAGAGCAGTGTATCTTTCATACTGCTAGGATTGATTTGTGTGCTATTACATCAGTTATTTGACTATATTGTGATGTGTTCCTGTTTTAAGCAGTTTTTGAAGGGAAAATAATAGACATAATCTTCGTAAAGTATACTTGGCTTCTTAAAGTTCTTGTTCAAAAGTGTAGAGAAAAATATTTGCTGTTGTTGGCTAATCTGATAGGATCAATAAGTGTCTGCAGAATATGTACATCAGCAATAAAAGGAGAGCCAAGGAGGATCTCCATT